TGTCGTCCTAGTGCATACGTAAGAAACGTCTCAAACGCGAGCGAATTCGCAAAGATCGCTGTCGAGTGATTTTCGCGCGTCTAGGCCGTTGAAATCGCGACCGAGTGTTCGAATTGCCGAACGTAGGAAGAACGAGAAGAAGGAATATTTCGTTTTTACACTCTTTCGCGTCTCTCTCTCTTTCTCTTTTTCTCTCTCGTCTCCGCCTTAGAATAGATGCATATATAGGAGGAGCAACGCGCCCACCAACATATATTTAATACTACACACACGGCACCTCCGTACGACATACCCGCGAGCAAATGGAGTGAACGGGTTCGTGAGGCGTGCTAGGAGGCGAAGAGGAGGTGGAGGAGGAGGAGGACGGAGGACGAGGGAACGGGTGCGTGCGACGGGTTGTAAAGGGCGCGCGACGAGGACGAAAGAGGATGTAGTCGGCGGACGTTTACGAAGAGAACCGAGTCGCCCCGACATGTGGGAGAGCCACGATACTGTACGCGCGTACAGGATCGGTGTTACGACGTCCGATCACCTGAACGGACACCACCACTGCACCGTGCTTCGCTCTCGAGCCGCGTCCTCGTCCCCGAAGAATGCCGGAGGACTGCGGTCGCGGGAGGGATGCATTTAAAAAATAAACTAGTCGAATGAAATGGTGTGCGCGAACGAAGCCCGGTCGTCGCGTAAGTCCAGAAGCGAGTCGTGGTGCCGAACGCGAATTCGGGAGTCAAATGGCACGATCGTGCAACGCAAAACGAAGGTTTTCGCGGATCAACGCGGTTAATCCTTTTGAATGGCGCGCGTTCGTTTCTGCCAAATTTCTCCAGCTTATGCTCGCACAACTGTTGCCATGAGCAGCTGTTGCCCCATGTTCTCTTTGTGGTAACAAATAAGAGGGTAACAAACAAGATTTCATCTGTCTCGGTCCATTGCTTTCGATCTTTTGAGAAGTTGCTCTTCTCTCACCGACCGATTTACGCCGAGATATTTCGATCGTTTCGCTCTAAAGTGCTTCGCGCACTCAGTGGGTTGAAGAACAATAATAGGACGGGAAAATGTGAGGCGCGAGTGTTACCGTTCCCTAAAGTGACGTCCGGTTTTACCTGTTCGTTCCAAACGCGAAGCCAACGTGGGAGGCGTGGCGCTCGAGGGGGGGCGCGTGGCACCGCGGCGCCGTGGGACGGCCCTGGCCGCACAATACGAGCATGAATGAAGTATCGCGTCTGGCTCGCGAGGTACGGTATAGAAAGCGCGGGGCGAGAAGGGCAGAAGGGTCGCAGGCGTCACGGTGCTCTGGTGGCTGGCTGTGTGAGGCGCGCGTGTGGGTGCCTGCGTGTGCGCGCGAGAACGCCACACGCGTACGTGTTTGCGACCGTAAGTACATTCGCACATACGCGACTTTCAGTCGGGAGATCGGAGCGCGCATGCGCTACACGCACCCCACCCACGGAGGAAGAGAGAAAGGGAGACAGAGAGAAAGAGAGAGAAAACGCAAGCAAGAGATATACGCGGGGAGAGCGAGAGAGAAATAGTGAGGGATAGAGAGATAGAGCGAGGGAGAAGGACAGAGAGAGCCTCTCGTGCTGTTTGTAAGTGAACAGAGTTCCTCAACGCGCCGCAGCAGCGCCGAGCACCAGCCGGTTGTTCCAGAAAGCCAGGGGCACGATTGCCACCGTCGGGCGTAGAGAGAAAGAAAAACAGTGGTGAACCCGCTCTGCGCGATCACCGGACGGAGCCGACGTGCATGTACTCGGTGGATGCGCGAGGAAGCGCAGGACAGGACAAAACAGAAGCGCACGTTGATCGTCGCTTCGCGCGAGCGTCCCATCGTCCGGTGATACTCATCGTCGCGGGTGCACGGGAGACCCAGCACGTCCCTCGCGGCGAGAGAGAGAGAGAGAGAGAGAGCGAAAGATTGATAAAAAGAAAGAGATAGAGAGAGAGAGAGAAAGAGAACGAACAAGCGGCGGTGTTGGTGGATCGTGCGCGTTACGCGGCGACAAACCGCGACGGACTGCCGTTGTGAGCCGCGGGACGAAAGGTGCGCGGACAAACCGCGAGAACAGCCGGTCCGAACTCGACGAGGGTTTTCGCGAATCTACTCTTGCCGTGCGCCGCGCGAGTGCACGGCCCGAGCGACGACGCGCCGTCGGCGAACGCGACGCGAGCCGAGGAGGTTAGGAAACGCGCGGCGGCGCGCGAGTGCGCGAACGACCACGCACGAGGTCGCGCGCCCGTAACAGGCGGAGCATATTCGGCGAAGCATAAAGTCGATCGTGCGGCGAGATCGAGTGGATCGTTCGGTAGGAGCATCGGCGAGTAGCACCAGCGGGGAAATACAAGAGGGAGGCAGAGGAGCGGCGAGTGAGCGCGACGTTGTCGGACCACCAGTGGCCCCGGCGACGGGATAGTACGCGCCTGGATCGCGCTCGCACGATCTACACCGGCATGGCTGCCGAGGCCAGCTGAACTTCTGCTTTCCTATCTCTCTCTGTCTCGCGCATTGACGGCATCATCTCGCTGTCTCGCTCAGCTCGCTCGGCCGAACGAACGAACGAACGAACGAACGAACGAACGGACACGAGAGCGCGTTCGCGCTCACTCACTCACTCACACTTCCGCGCGCAATCACTCGCTCTGTCCCGCCCCCGCCATCCCCTCGCCGCTCACCACGCGGCCGACTCCCCTGACAGCCTGTCTCGTCCGTCTCTTTTTACTTCCTTCCACTCGACCAGCTCGTAATCCCGCCGTCCTCGTCTCGACGACGTGAGAAAGAAGAAGAGAGGAGACGAGAAATAGAGAGAGAGACGAGCAACACACACCAACCCGCGGCAGCTTGCACAGCCGATAGAGAGAGAAGCGCGCGCGCGCGCGCGTACGTTGGTACGCCGAGCATCAAGAGCGGGGGAATCGAGCGGAGGCTCGCCATTCGAGAGAACCAGCAGCGGAGGCGCAATCACACCCTACACCGCGATCTATACGTTTCGAGGAGGTGCGGTGTCGTCGTCGTCGTCGTCGTCGTCGTCCACCGCCTCCCCCTTCCTTGGGCCCTTCCGCCGAAAGATCGTCATTGGTGTGTGTCGTCAGCAATTCGTTCAAGGGAGGCGCGCATGGGCAACATTATGGCAACTCGTGACACGACGTGAAACGTCGGTTTTCACGAGCCGGTGAAACGGAGGATCATTAATCGCGTCGGATCTGACGACGATGGAGACGCATGAGTGAGAAGATCGTAGTGGGGACATCCGAGAGATCTTTCACAACGTCGTGCGAGGAGACGTCACTGGCTCTCGTCCGTTGCGCACCTGTCGCCGC